AGAAATGGTGAAAAGATTTGTATTGAGGATATCGATAGACTTCTACCCTCACAGAGAGTAGCTACACCCGAAAACGAACACAAAATCGTTTATCTTCTTTATGTAGAAGACGGTGATAATTGTCATTTCGCATATGTAAAAGATCTAAACAAACTGATGAATAAAAGAGATAAACATCAGAAGTTCTTTTGTGTTAGGTGTCACGCATTCTATTATGATAAGAAGAAATATATGAGTCATCTAGAAGACTGTGGTTTGAATAAGCCTATGGAAAACAAATTAAGTGATAAGAAAATTATAAAGTTCGAAAATCATCAGAGAACCCAAAAGCACAGATATGTTATTTATGCTGATTTCGAATGTAATAATGAACGAATTCTCGAAAAAGTTGATGAATTCAATGAAAAGAAGAAGTATACAAAAAATATTACAAAGCATATCCCATCAGGATATTGTATAATTGTAGTTGATTCGTTCACGAAACTAATTTATGATCTAAAGTTTTATGTCGGACCCGGTGTTGTCTTTAAATTCAATAAAGATATCATTGAAATAAGTCAAAAGATTATGAAACTACCAGAATCAAAAATAAAAGAGTTGACATCTCGAGAAACTGAAGATTTCGAAAAATGTGAGAAATGTCCTATTTGTGGTAACATTTTTGATTCTGATAAAAGTAAAAAATGTAAAGATCATGACCATTGGACTGGTGAATATAGAAGCCCATTATGCAAATTATGTAATTTCAAGCTTGAAAGAAACTCTTTCATTCCAGTATTCTTTCACAATTTGAAAGGCTATGATGCTCATAATATAATTGGAGATCTAGATAGTAATCATTATTTGCACAAAAGAAAAATTCAAATTAAATTGATTCCTAATAATACTGAAAAATTTATAAGTTTTAGCTATTGGAAGCCTTGGAAACTCGAACAAACGGAAGGGGATCGCTTCTATGAAATTAGATTTCTAGATTCTTTTGGATTTATGAGTTCTTCTCTAGATTCCCTAAGTAAGAATTTGAAAGATAATCAAATGAATACTTCAAAAGATTTTTACAATCAGTTCTATATTGACGGTGATAAAGCTTTCAAAATGATGAGAAAGAAAGGTGTTTATCCTTATGAATACATGGATTCATTTGAAAAATTTAAAGAAACCAAATTACCAGATAGAAAGTGCTTTAATGATAAATTAAATGGCAAGAGGTGTTCGAAGAAAGATTATAATTACGCACAAGAAGTTTGGAAAGAAATGAAATGTAAAAACATGGAAGATTATACAATCATCTACATGATTAATGATGTCCTGTTGCTAGCAGATGTCTTCGAAAACTTTCGAAATTTAAGTTTAGACATTTATGGATTAGAACCTTGTTGGTATTACACTAGTCCTGGGCTATCTTGGGATGCTATGTTGAAAATAACTAAAGTAAACTTAGAAACTATCAGAGATAGAGAAATGTATAATATGATTGAAAAAGGAATTAGAGGTGGAATGGTTAATGCAATCAAAAGATATGCCAAAGCTGATAATAAGTATATTCACGAAAATAAAAAAATTCCAATGCGCTTAAGATCCTGGCTGAAAAGAAGATCACGATACCCAGGTTTCATGAAAAGTTTCATAAAAAAGAATCCTTCATACTTGTTATACCTTGATGCCAATAACTTATATGGCTGGGCAATGTGTCAAAGGCTACCTACTGGAGGATTCAAATTTGTAAAAGATGACAAAATTGAAAAGTTGAACAAAGGAAATTTAAATAATGATATAAAGAAATATATAGAACGTCTGAATAAAGCCAACAAAGGTTGTATCCTTGAAGCCGATCTAGAATACCCGAAAAGTCTACATAAACGGCATGATGACTTTCCATTGTGTCCACAAAACATTGAGTTTGGAAGTAATGTAAAGAAATTGTGTAATACATTAGGTGACAAAGAAAAATATGTTATTCATCACAAGAACTTATTACAATGCTTGGAGCTTGGAATGAAAATTAAGAAAGTTCATAGAATTATAACTTTCAAAGAGAGTGAATGGCTTGAGAAATATATTAATCTGAACACGAATCTGCGTAAGCAAGCTAAAAATGAATTTGAAAAAGATTTCTTCAAGTTGATGAATAACTCCATCTTCGGAAAGACTATGGAGAATGTGAGAGGACGAGTTGATGTTAAAATTGTCTTAGGCGAAAATGATTCGACTATTAAAAGGATTTACGCTCCCAAACCTAATTATAAGAGAAGCATCGTTGTTAACGAAGGACATCTTGTTCTTGTGGAAATGGAGAAGACTCAGATTGTTCTTGATAAACCGATTTATGTAGGCTTCGCTATACTTGATTTGAGTAAGCATTTGATGTATAATTTCCACTATAAAGTAATGCAAAATAAGTATGGATATCGAAAATTAAAGCTAGTTTATCAAGATACAGATAGTTTGATCTACCAAGTTTATACTCAAGACATTTACAAGGATATTGAAAAAGATCAAACCTTGAAAAATTATTTTGATTTCAGTGAATATCCAGAAGATCATCCTCTCCATTCAGTAGAAAATAAAAAAGTTGTTGGAAAGATGAAAGACGAATTGAATGGTAAGATTATGACTGAAATAGTAGCAATACGTCCAAAGCAGTATGCGTATAAAACCCTTGATGGTAAAGAACATAAGAAAAATAAAGGGATAAAGAAAAATGTTGTGAAAAAAAGACATCACATTAAAAGATTATAAGGACAGTCTTTTTAACAAAACCATTGTTCGTAGAAAACAATATTGCATTCGAAGTGTCAAGCATCAATTATTTACACAAGAAATAGAGAAAGTTGTGTTTGATAATAGAGATAAATCAACTTTTAATGATGAAGAGAAAGATAGTATTAATAATGGCTACAAGCGCATGATTCTTAAAAAAGGGTATAAAACCAAAGCATTTTCGAGCTTCTAGTAATTTAAAGATAGTACTGCTTCCTGGAAATCTAAACTTTCCAATAACTTTAATAAAAGTAAACAATAATATCCACAGTGATGTGTATTGAATTCTTGAATTTGAAACGTTGAGAGTTCTATTTTTCTTCTATCTTCTCCTTGTTTCAGGTATGTCATAATTTCTTCAGGAGGATCTAATCCAAAAGAATCAAAGTAAAAAAGTGTATCTTTTATCTTTTTATAACAAACCCAATGTGTACCCTTATTTTTTGTAGAGTCAAGATTTACAATTCCAACTTCTCTTGATAGTATCTTTTTCGGTAAAGCATCTCGCATAAAAACACCTCGGAAATTCTTGATTTTTAGTTGTTTTACAAGGTTTAACAGGTCAATGTTGGTTAGTGCTTTCAGGTCTTTTCGGAAGGTGACCATTATTTAATAAGGGGCTTTTTATTTAAATTCTTTGATTATTTGAACTAACTTTTGAGTAGCGCAATTTATGACTCGTCCGTAAAAATCCGTGATAATTGAAGGTTTTTGAGCTGTTAGAGCGTCGAAAAACGTGAAAAATCGCGAAAAATGGAAAACACCCTGGGATGGGTGGTTGGTGCGCTAGAAATTTTTTTCTAAACTCACCCAAAAATTGAAAAACACGTAAAATCATGCTTAAACTTACAAAATTTAGTCATTTTTCGGTGAAAAAGACGTCTTTTTTTGTTTTTTACGAAGAGGGTGAAAGGGTGCGCTAGCGTGACCCATTATAATACTACTGGCGCCGACTCATTCTCCCCAACCCAATAGAAAAATGATGTCAAGATGAATGGCTTTATTTTTCGATATAGCAATTGGTACTTTAATTTGCTCTTGTCAAGCATTTGCTAGAAAGTTTTCCAAAAAAAGTGTTTCCATAATTCACGGTATTATTGAGGTATGGTCTTGGAACGATGCCTCACAATGGGATTATGAGAAATGGGCAAAACAGGAGCCCATTGATGGAAATCATTGTGCAATGCTTTCTATGAAAGGTGAAAGATGTCAAATCTTTGAAAGATGTCAAATTTCAATAAGATACAATAATGCAGAAGTAATTGACATCAATTTCGGATCAAAATTGGCACAGCATGGATTGCGCGGAGGATCGAGCGGCGTTTCTCTGTGCGATTCCCGCGACTCCGACCACACAAAATGCGATCACATCGACAAGTGCATCTTTGAAGATTATTTTAAGCAAAGAATATCTATAAATGTTTAAGATTGACTCTAGTAGCCACTCTAGTAGCCTCTCTAGTTGATAGAATATCTTCGACGAATATTGCGTCCAACAACTCAAGGAGTACGATGGAAAGAAGCTTGTCTCAGTGACCAAGGAAGGCCTTGAGCTGCCCGAGTCGGACGAAGAGAAAAGAAGTTTGAAGGAGAACAAGGTGGGATAATTATCCATTAGTGTATAGTTTATTTGTGTATTCTACTTGCAGCAAGTTAAAGTCGCTTTTTAGGTGAAGTTCGAAGGGCTTTGCAAGTACATCAAGGACGTGCTCGAAAAGAAAGTCGAGAAAGTCTTCCTTTTTTCTTCCTCACTTTGACCGAGCACAATCACACATTTGCTCCAGTTGAACTAGGCGCACGCGACGCGACACGCAAACGCGTTGGGCTAGAGTGGAAGGGTGATGAGAGTGACGCGTCTGTGAGCAGAGACGCAGAGGAAGGCGAGAAACTGGCAACATCGCATTCTTCCATTAACTTTTGTGAATAGGAAAGAGACTTCCTTTTCTTCTGTAGTTTGCGTTGATTTCGTGATTTCCCATCCGTGATTATCATTGTTATTTTCTCCTTAACTTTGAGTTTGTTAACAACTTCTCCGTATATTATTGTCTGGCGTAATGTCTCAGTTTTTCAAAAGGATTTTAGCTAGCCAAGTTTTCCGAAAAGTGAAGCTTATTTTTGTACTTATATTGAGATGGTATTGGATAAACATATTTTCATCCAAATCCTCACATCGACGACTTCGTATTAAAACTGTTTTATTTATTCAATTTACTTATTTCATTAATTCTTTGGTTTTAGAAATGGTCAAGATTACTATTCGTTTGGTCGGCGATGAGAATGATAAATTATTCAAGCGTATTGAGTTGGATCCACAGGTTTTTACTTTTATGGTTGATAATAATTGATTTTATGTTAATTTCAGATTCATGTCGATGACCTGGTGAAGGAGATTACGACTGTGACGAATATTCCATCCAAATTTCAACAAGTCCAATTCCGTGGTGAAAAACTACCCGTTGTTGAGCGTCCTCTTCAAGACATCAAGTTTGGCGAAGAAATTATAGTGGTAAGTTGAATTTTTATATTTTTATTTGATTAATTGACTTATAAACTAATATTTAAATATAAGCTAATGACTAGCACCGCGAACTTTTTCTAAAGTTATGTAGTAGTTTTAGAATATTTAAAATTATTTTAAAATTTTATTTTAGATTTGAGATTATGTGAAATATTTTACTATATTTTTTGCTTGATTTTAGAAGCATTCTATGGCCAACAACTGGACAGCATTTTTCACACTCTTTGAAGCAGCTCGGCAAGCATTGGCAACAAAGCAAATTAAGGACGTCGAACGGAATGTGGATCTTGCAATACAACAGCTAAAACCATTAGTGGAAGCAAAGTTTTTGGTCACGTTCCCGAATTTCGTTGAACCATACCGACAATTCACTGCAAATTTTTCGCGTTATATGGACCAGGAATATCGATATATTGAATTTGCGGTCCATGATTACTTCTCAAAGATTTTTCTTGACGATGCTGAACTACCAACACTCGATATCAAATGTGAAAAGAAGTCACCAGATGAAAGTTTTAATATTAATTATAATTGTATAATATTCTCTTTAGGGTGGCTTGATCTGCAATGTTTTGCGAAATGGAAGCTTACTTGGAAAATATTATGTGAAAGAGCACATAGGCCTTTCTAATTGGCAGCATGCAGATCTTCGTGAAATTTTCATTTACAAACTGTTCGAATTGATACAAGTGGGGCCGGAAGTGCATTTCATACCAAATACACACTACTCTGGTTTGGGACTTTACATCGGAACTAAAGAAGGTAAGTTTTCCAAATTTTTAGCTTCATATAATTATTTATGTTTTAGTTGTTGGCTTTCGTCGAGCAGACACCGAAGGATTGGAGATAAGCAACGAACTGTACGCTCAGCGCGATTTGCTTCGACGTGTCTTGTGTGTGAAGGATCTCCATTCAAAAAATTATGGTGTCGATGATAAAGGGAAACTCAGCATCGTTGATTTCCAGGTATGATTGAAAGATTTTATATTATCACTTTTCTAATTAATTCATTTTTTAGATTAACGGTTCTGTTGATTCCGCCGCGGTGCTCAAGTATTTGGATGGCTACAAAGGCTGGAAAGGAAGCAAAGAATTGCGTATTCAGACAGCAAAAGACTACATTAAATCGTGGAATCTCCTGAATGCGTTCGAACGAGCAAATGCAGCAATCGTCAAACAAAAAGAACTTTTTAAAAAGCATTGTATTACCTATAAACCAAGTAGAAACTTTGATGAATACTTGTGCCTAATTAAGAATAATCTGAATGTTTTGGTAGAACGTTTAGGATAACTTTGGTTTTTATTGTTTGATTTTATTGATTTGACATTTGTGCTTAAAGAAAATTTCGATATTTAATGATAAATTTGTATGAATATTCTATTTCTTCTATTTCTTTTATCTTTTCTGGTAAAGTATCGCGCATGAAAACGCCTCGAAAGTTTCGAATTTTTAGTTGATTTACTAATGCTTCTAGATCCAAGTTGGTTAGCGCAGTGAGGTCTTTTCGGAAGGTGACCATTATTTAATAAGGGGCTTTTTATTTAAATTCTTTGATTATTTGAACTAACTTTTGAGTAGCGCAATTTATGACTCGTCCGTAAAAATCCGTGATAATTGAAGGTTTTTGAGCTGTTAGAGCGTCGAAAAACGTGAAAAATCGCGAAAAATGGAAAACACCCTGGGATGGGTGGTTGGTGCGCTAGAAATTTTTTTCTAAACTCACCCAAAAATTGAAAAACACGTAAAATCATGCTTAAACTTACAAAATTTAGTCATTTTTCGGTGAAAAAGACGTCTTTTTTGTTTTTTACGAAGAGGGTGAAAGGGTGCGCTAGCGTGACCCATTATAATACTACTGGCGCCGACTCATTCTCCCCAACCCAATAGAAAAATGATGTCAAGATGAATGGCTTTATTTTTCGATATAGCAATTGGTACTTTAATTTGCTCTTGTCAAGCATTTGCTAGAAAGTTTTCCAAAAAAAGTGTTTCCATAATTCACGGTATTATTGAGGTATGGTCTTGGAACGATGCCTCACAATGGGATTATGAGAAATGGGCAAAACAGGAGCCCATTGATGGAAATCATTGTGCAATGCTTTCTATGAAAGGTGAAAGATGTCAAATCTTTGAAAGATGTCAAATTTCAATAAGATACAATAATGCAGAAGTAATTGACATCAATTTCAGATCAAAATTGGCACAGCATGGATTGCGCGGAGGATCGAGCGGCGTTTCTCTGTGCGATTCCCGCGACTCCGACCACACAAAATGCGATCACATCGACAAGTGCATCTTTGAAGATTATTTTAAGCAAAGAATATCTATAAATGTTTAAGATTGACTCTAGTAGCCACTCTAGTAGCCTCTCTAGTTGATAGAATAAGTGTTCCAGCCGTTTCACCAAAGCAATGCCCACCGAGTTGGACTTATTTTGAAAAAACGAACGCTTGTTATTATGTAAGTGGATAAAGATAAAAGTATAAAGAGCTATGCCGGCTTACGGTAACTGGGATATGCTTTAGAATGCTTTAAAATGCTTTAAAATGCTTTAAAATGCTTTAGAATGCTTTAGAATGCTTTAGAATGCTTTAGAATGCTTTAGAATGCTTTAGAATGCTTTAGAATGCTTTAGAATGCTTTAGAATGCTTTACACAAGTCATCAAGTTCACATGTTTTTAGATTGGAGCAAATATGACATGGACAGACGGGGAATCGTATTGTCGAACTCAGAAATCTCACTTGGCGTCAGTGCACAGCGAAGAAGAGAATCTTTTCATTTATTGTAGTGGAAATGATTTGATTCTTTGATCGAATTGTTTAGCTTTAAAATACACAAAGAATTGCGATGTGGTGGCGAACGATTGGATCAGTATCACGCTGCTTGGCTCGTATCGGTTTCCCTATCTATCTAATAATAAGTTCAACCATTTTCAGGGATTATCACGATCAAACTTGGCTTTGGAGTGATGGAACGGCGTTTGATTATACGCCGGATCTGTGCAATGACGAGTTTGGACAACATTTTATGGTAAGGAGTTGATTAGGGAGTTCTTTTTAAGGTTAAAGACCTCCACAAAAGCTTTGTTCCTTAGCTTGCTGCTTGCTTGGGCTTAGGCCTAGCTGGCTTCTTGCGTGGCTTGAGTCCTAGGCTTTGGTTGGGACAACAGACAACAAAAGCTTTGTTCCTTAGCCTGGGGTGACTTCTACTTGCTTGGGCCTAGCTCGAGTTCTAGGCTCCCATTGTGTCCCATTGTGATGTCCATCACTTCTCACAATCAGTTCTAAATATCGCATTTCGTCTCACAATCAGTTAATATCGAATTTCCGATTGACAACACGAAATGTTCAATGTGCGCGAATGGAACGTGGTTCTCTCCATTGATGGACTACGACAATAGCATTTATCCGTTCTTTGCCTGTAAATTACAGCTCTAAAAAAAGAGTTACAAAGAGAATAAATGTATTAGTTTATTTTTAAAAACATTACAAAGCAAATTGGGAACGTTTTAAAAGGTTTGGGTTTTTTAAACACATGAGTTATTGTAGGTTATTGGGTTGTTAAGTTGGAAATTGTTGGAAATAAGTTAAGTGATCTATTTTTTTCCATTAAAACTCTGAAAATGTAAATAACTCGGGAATTAATCGCTGATAAGTGAATAGAGGGGATTGTTATTGTTATCAGGATTGTTATCAATTTGCACAAAATGACTCGTTTGCTGTTACCGAATTTGTTAATATTTTTTTCCTGTTTTCATTCTGTCGAGGAAAACAATTAACATTGCTGCATGGTCATCTTCGTCATTTGATGCTTTAGAAGTTTCTTTGCTTTAGGAATTTGATACTGTGTTTCTTTAAAAACACAGTATCAACCTGGTGCATGCTAATTTACGTTTTGTATGGGAATGAAAAACCTTTTCATCGAAAAAAACAAAAATTAACATTAACAAATTTATTCTCTAGATTGCTTTCAAGAATTTGATTTCTCGAAAATATTTTGCTTCTCGAAAATATCTCCATTGGCGGCTGCACAAGCTGTCGATGAAGCTTGGGATTGGTTGGGAAGCTGTCGATGGTGGCCAGATACGCAGAATCGAGCCCAAGCTTTCTGGAGTGATTTTTTCAATGAATCAATGCTTGATTGTGCTTTTGAGTAGGCTTTTGCTTCGAGAACACTCCAGACTGAGTAATCCATCGGATTTAAACCTGGCCTTGATGGTGGCCACTGCTAAAGCTGAGGAAATCCGCGAAGTTTCGTTCACACCAGTCTTGGACAATCCGGGCTTCTTGGGCAGGTGCCCCAATCCGCTGAAAGCATCAAATTTTGTTTCCGAAGTGGTTTTGTGCCCAAGGCAGCACTTCCTGCTTCAAACTATCCAGATAAATAAGAGCAAAGCGCGGTAAACAGCAAACCGCTTTGTTTGTTGCCTTAAATGAAGATCCTCGAAAGACTTTACATGAATTGGCAGAGAAGCTTCGAGTATCCCATATGGGGACCAATCATCTCCATGTCCTTGGCTTTACTTCAAAATTTGGCTTGGATGTTCCCATACATTGACCGACGCCCAGAGATTGAGCCAGATTTCTATCAGTGCAGCTCCAGATATAATCCATATCTCGAGATATCTTCTTGCTACGTATTGTGACAGGGGATAAAAATGGGTACTTACTGTGAACTTTCGGAGGAAACGTCAATGAGTGGGAGTCAGAGCAACACCCGAATTGCACCAGAAGAAGTTTATGCTCTCGGTTTTCTGGGATATGGAAGAATTGATCTGGAGTTTCTGGATAGTAAGACAACACTTAACTCTACTAAATACATTCAACAGCTCGATGAACATATCCACAGCTTTGGCCACTGATAGGCCTCATAAGTCAAAAATCATCCTTCTATATGACAACGCGCGCTCTCATGTTTCTTCAATGACTCGGGAAAAGCTGAAGATCCTTGGCTGGGAAGTTTTGATCCATTCTCCTTATAATCCAAACCTTGTCCCATCAGATTATTATTTATTCCGGTCAATGAGCAACGCTCTCGTTGGACAGGATTTTGATCCCGAAGATTGGGTCAAAAAGTTGTTGATGGACTTTTACGCCCCGAAGTCTAAGACTTTTTACGAGAAGAGGATTCGGGAATTGCCAGAAAAATGGGAAAAGATTATCAAAAACAATGGACAATATTTGGACTAACTTAAGTTCTTGTTCTTGAGTAAAATTTATTTTAAAAGTGAATCATTTTCAACTTCACAACTCCAAAATGATTTAAGTGACACAATTGTTTTGCGGGATGTGAAGATGGGAATTGATCCCAGGGTTGGGGCACGGCTCGATCACTGATCGCTCATTACCTTACCAATTCCAAAAGGGAAGCGCCTTATATACCGGGGCGATTACGCGGCCGTACAACGAACACCTTGTGATTTTTTTCTTTTGTTTGTAGATGGTAAGAAGATATTTGGCTGCGAATTTGTACCCAGGGGTTTTCGGGGTCGGAGAATCGATTTGTGTTGTTTATTTTACGGTATATCAACAGGCTAAAAGCTAATTTGTTGTCAAAGATCCGAATCTTTTAAAGTTCAAAGGACTCACTTTGATATTCTCAAAGCAATCCATTGATGAGTTCTTCTGAAAGAAGAAACTCTTCTCATCGTTCACATTTCCCCTCTCAAATGACTCATCCTCGATCCCAAAGCATTTTGCAAAGTTCACCCGATTTTGGGACACATTTTTCTCTTTTTTACTAAAGCTTTTCATATTTGCACTTTGCGGGATACATTTTAAAGAAAGACAAGAAAAAAAAAAGCCTTTCTTTCTTTCACAGACACAGCTTTTTCTGTCGAAGATCCTTTTCAAAACCATTTCTTTTTTTCTAACTGATTGGATTAAAAAAAAAAGTTATTTTTATGTAACGATCAGCTGTTTTCATTTCGGATAGATGACCGGTGAAAAATAATGAAAAAAAAATGAAAAAAAAAATCATTGAGGGTATTGTAACAGTCTGTGGAAAGGAGGGCAAAGAAAAGAGGAGTTGATAAGGCGTTTCGATGACCGGTAGAACGGAGGCTGGGATTGGAAAAGAGTGAGAATCTATCTACAACGATTTCCTTTCATTTAAAACTCTAAAACATTTACAATACCGTATTTGTTAGGATTTTAAATATTCGAATATTTTATTGCGATTATTCTTGAAGAGTCTAGTGAATGGTGAGTGGAATTACTAGGTTAGCTCAACTCGGTTTTGAGTCTTTATTTTCAATTCTCAATTAGTTGACCAGTTACCAGTAAGCGTCCGTTTTTCCAAACCATTTTTCCAAACCGTTTTCTAAGCTACCGTAATCTTGTCTCAAGTTTTACTCTATTGGGTTGGGGAGAATGAGTCGGCGCCAAACTTTAAAGGGACTTTTTGCACACATAAAGCCTTCTTTAAACATACGTTTGGTTTCATCAAAAGGATCCACTATTTCTCTACAAATGACTTTTGAGAGATTCCACAAAGCTTTTCTTTCGTGGAGTTTATGAACTTCCAAACGCAGCTGGTTAAAATGGCAAAGAGTCCGACTCATCATTTGAACAGTTTCTTTCACATAAACCTTCTTTGGTGTTTATATAAAAAAGATAGAGCACATTCAATTACTTAAGTTGCCAAATTTGCAGGAAGATCCCAGCAATGGTTTTTTCTAGATGACAGTTTGTAGTTTTTGTGAAAAAATGGCTTTTTCTTGAGCGGAGGCGCTGTTTGAATTTTCTTTTAAATGTCATTTTGTAGAGAATTAGTTAACCATTCTACTCATATCAAACGCATATTATTTGACGAAGTCGAATAGAAGTTTTACACATTTTTTTGATTTTCGGCGCCGACCCATTCTCCCTAACCCAATATTTTCTTTTTAACTTTCGATATCTTTAGCTCTTATAGAATTAATATAAAAAGTAACAGGATTATCAGTAGTTTTCGAAAGTTAAACAAGTTTTAAAAAAACGCTTTGTCAAGAGGAAATCACAGGTTGAAATTTTACATCAATTTAAAGAGTACTTTTCACTTTGCAATGATTACACAAAATAGTGCACTTTTGAATTTAGCAACTTCTAAATAAAATGCAAACTTTATACCGTAAATACTCTAATAAAACCCCATCTTCTCGTACAGTCGTGTAGTCTAACTTCTTTTTAGAGAATCATTTTTTTCTCAGCTCCTGGATTTTTACCAACTACACTTTTGGTACCAAAAATACTAGATATCAAGGGCTATCATTTGACACCAAAAAGCACACTATAGCTTAAAGCAGCGCGGAGAATGAGACGTTCAAAGTTAGACTACACGACTGTACGAGAATGAGACGCTCAAAGTTAGACTACACGATGTACGAGAACGGGACGTTCAAAGTTAGACTACGCGACCGTACGCCCGTCATTACCGGGGTGCCGCTCAGAGTATTTACGGTATTATAATGCTAATGCGGTACCCAATCGATTTTTAAAAACGAAACTTTCTTGGTATTTTTCCGAATGATTGGAATTTCCCAATCGCTCATCTCAGCAAATCTATTGACCTGACCACTTCGAAAATAATCCCCCCATTTTTTCCCTTAATCCAAATGTTGCATTTTGCTCCCGTAATTTCAACGAGACTTTTGCTTTTACGGAAAAGTCGGAAAAGGGAAAAACAGTGATTTTTTTATAATTTCCCGCACACAGACTGGCACGCGGCGTTGATAAAAACTGGCGGAAGAGTGGGGGAAGAGTGGGGGAAGCGTCGGGGAGGAAAACTGCTGACTTTGCCCATCTCAAACACAGTTTCTTTAATTTTAATGAACTAAAGTTTTTTTTGCGGTTGACTGGGTTTAAATTTCTGGAAGAATTTAGAGACTTTATAAGTTTATTAGCAAAAAAAATTGTGATTGTCAAAGTCAAAGATCAGAGCTTGTTTAGCGTCAAGGTTAGCTGAGGATTGGTACAAAAAAAAGCTACTTTAAACTATATAGGATTAATTGGATAATCGTTAAGCGCTCATTTGATTAGTGAACTTGTCCAATGTGGTAGAAGACTTGAACTTGAACTTGAACTTGACTTGAACACCGAAAAACTGCCTGGTTACGAACAATTACGAATTTTTATTGACATTACGAGCCTATTGATCATTGTAAAAACTACATTTGAGATCCGCAAATCATTGAAAATTTTTTATAACTGTTTTTTAGAGTTTTATGATGATCGTATTGTCTCGGAAATTAAAATTGTTTAAAAACTAATAACGGATTCGGATTCTCTATCAGTTAGAGCTGTTGTATTGAAATTTCAGCAGCTCTCTTTCTTTCTTTCTTTCTTTCTTTCTTTCTTTCTTTCTTTCTTTCTTTCTTTCTTTCTTTCTTTCTTTCTTTCTTTCTTTCTTTCTTTCTTTCTTTCTTTCTTTCTTTCTTTCTTTCTTTCTTTCTTTCTTTCTTCCCAAATTCCTTGCAATTTTTATTGCAACAAATCTCCTTATATCTCAAAAGTTGTGCAGTTTTCTTTCTAAACAAATCTCGATTTTCAAGCGAGAGATTTGACCTGATGGCCTATAGCTGGGTGGGAGAGAGAGTTGCGCCATAGCTGACCCCCACTTGTGAGCACCATTCTCTAGAGCCTCAATGTTATTTACCGCCTCAGGAATCCCTTGTCTTCTACCCTTTTGCATTTCAACTAACGATGACCCAACGATTCTTGGGTCATAAATGAGAAGTGCGCAATACACCCCTTTCTTTACCCGGTTCATTCAGGTCACGGGTCACCATCAGGACACCCATTCCTTTCTCTAGCTCGTCTTTCGCAAAATTGACCTAAATTCCTAAATTCCTGACGTCACACGAAAATTGCCTGAGGCTCTAGTGCCAGGTGCAGCAAGAATAGAGTGGAACAATTCTTGGAAATCTACAGGAATGGAGAGCAGTAAGGCACAAGTAGGTATAGCTGAGCCTTCCGGTATCATAGCACTTCCCTATCTTGATAGTTCTAGTAAATTTTGCTGGAAACTATAACACCAAGATCTTTAGCCAATTTAAACCTGAAGAATTGCCAGCTTTCAAGAATTTCGACTATAAAATAGTGGGCTGTGGAGCGAGTGAGCGTTTGTAAGAGCTCATAGTGTCGACCAGCTTTGCCTGGTTCTCTGTAAGGTGGATGTACCAGAGCATGCGTTTAATGGAGCACAAAGTACAAGCCTTCAGACTGATCCAGAGCTTGTCCAGGTTTTCTAAACAACCAAAGTTGTTGCCAAAGTTCAAAGCCATCCCGCACTCATCTTTACGAGCTTTCAAGGTGTGAATGAGCTCCATGAAAAAGAGAGGTGCCAAAGTAATGAACTGGTAAAGAAAAGGAAAAAAAGAAGGAAGAAGAAAAAAGAGGAAAAAAGAAAAGGTCAAAAAGATAAAGGAATAGGTTTGCCCTTTGCTTGTGATATGAGAGAGAGTGGGGGGATGGGTTGGAAGGCGAGCCTGGTGCCGGGTAGCCCCCGAAAGTCCCATGAAAAAAAGGAAGAATGAGATAAAACAATGAATAGCCAAAGAAGCACAAGAATGACCGTTCCTTCATTTCCACTTTTTTTTGACATAAATGTTTCAACTTTTCTTTATTTTTTCAGTGAATGATTCGAGAAGAATGGAATCGACGAATCGACGATCGATCTTCTGTCGAAGAGCCAACGATGTCAAGGTTTTAAGGTGATGTTTTAACATCATTAACAAAAACATACAATATACTGTATTCAAACTTTAAAAACTTAACTTTATCATAGCTTTGACCACTTTACAAGGTAGAATTTACGGTTAAAAATCTTGTTTATCAACTCTAAAACAAATTGATTGATTGGTCGAATTGATCAAATTAATCAAATTAATCAAATTGTTTCTGTAGAGTTTTAATGAGAATTCTGCGAATGTTTGAATCTTTCAATGAATTCTAATTCCAATAAATAAATGACTAAACATTTCGGAAAGAAATGTAAGTGAAGAATGGATTTTCAAGAAATTTATTAAAATTTATTTTCAAGAAAACTTTCCTCAATCAACCTCAACTTTCCCCCTGCACCTGTTCATTTCTTTTGCCCAGTTGGATGTCTTTGCGGGAGGGAATGCTTTGCCATTGGCATCAGAGAAAACAAAAGTAACAAAAGAGAGAACAAAAGAGGCAAAAAGAGAGAAATGAAAGTGTGAATG